GCTCTGTTTGACCTTTTGAACTGAAGTAAAGATACTGTTCCTTGTTACACAAGCCCGAATATCACTTTATTATACTGTAGGGTATATCTTGGTTCAGAAACTGTGATAAAGCTTCTGTTTATTTACAACCCCCAACAAATAAAACCTGTGGAATTGCAACATAAGAAAATACCAGTTTGGTTAGAAAAATTAATCTAGTTTGCACAGTCCTATACTCTGCTTTTAACCAGTCAGCTGCAGCCAGCAGAATGCTGCTGGAATTTTAGAAACAGAGCATGAAAACAGATAACCACTTTCTGTTGTTTGTCTCCAGTAATATTTGATATTCAGAAGTGTGCAACCCTGGAGATGCAAGATCATTTTTTGTATACATTTTTATGAGTAACAGTGTTCTGTAGATCTATCCTCAGCCCCCACCCCACCCCTGAATATGAAAAGGTCTCAGCTAACACCATACCTTGTGGTAATGATTTTACCTGGCAATGATTCTTGGTGTAAAGAAAACAAGTTGCAACACTTGTTTTGTGAGGCCATTATGGCTTTTCCCCTCTTGTATCTGCAAACATGGAAGATTCTGAGCTGGGATGAAACTAACAAGCTTTCAGGTGTCAACACAAGGTAATTGAGCATGAATTCCCATTAGTTAGAAATTGGATTTAATTCTTGGAAGGAGAAATGATGTAAGGGGCATGGAGTCCTCTTGCTTTGCACTCATTTTGTGGGCTTAGGCAATCCTAAGGTATTTTTAGCTTTGTTTTCTTTCTCCAGAAGACATGCTCCTCTGAAACAGCAAACTTTCTACAGTTTTCTACAGAAAAGCCCCCATAACTACATTGTACTTACTGAACACAAGTCCCTGACTTCTCCGTTTATTCCTGCAACTTATTTGCAACACTGGATAGCCATGGGCCTCTGGGAAGCTTATGGGATCAAGTCAGTAACATTCCCTAATTTGGTTTCCTACCACTACCTGCTTTTGTACCTTCAGGCTCCATTTAGCTAGCATGGCTGGTAGAAAGGTCTTTCATGGGATGAGATGAAGTACAGAAAGATGAGAGCTGGGAGTGTGTGCATTCAAAGTATAGTGTATGGAGTGTGGCTTGACATGACAGATGGGATTTGTAGCAATCCCATTTAAAGCAGTATCAACTGTCCAGGACAGAAGTTGTGTCTTGATTTTTCATTCCTAGGTGCACATATCAGTGATCATGATGTAACTTAAGTAATCATTCTGATAAATGTGTCTTTGTGCAACTCTCATTTTTTTACTTTTTTTTACTTGGGAAAAGCCTTTGAGGATAATGACTAGGAAATCTACTCTAGTCTTTGTACCAGTAACACCTTTGGCTGTCTAAATGCACCAAAGCCTTTCATCGAATCATACAGTTGGAAGAAACCTTGTGGGCCATCCACTCCAACCCCCTGCCACAAAACATTCAAAGCATCCCCAACAGATGGCCATCCAGCCTCCATTTAAAAACCTCCAAAGAAGGAGCCTCCACCACACTCCGGGACAGACAGATCAATTGTTGAACAGCTCTCACCATTAGGAAGTTCTTCCTAGTGTTCAGGTGGAATCTCCTTTCTTGTAATTTGAAGCCATTGTTTTGTGTCCTGGTCTCCAGGACAGCAGAAAACAGGCTTGCTCCCTCTTCCCTATGACTTCCCCTCACATATTTATACAAGTCTCCTCTCAACCTTCTCTTCTGCAGGCTAAACATGCCCAGCTCTTTAAGTCACACCTCATAGGGCTTGTTCTCCAGACCCTTGATCATTTTAGTCACTCTCCTCTGGACACATTCCTGCTTTGCTCTTGCCAAGTGTCCCTCCCTGACCAAATACAGACCCACACACCAGGGAGACTTGAGAAGCCACTCATGAAGCTTAGAACCCTATGCCCCTAATGTGACATCAATCTACTGCTTTCTGTAATTATAAAAGGTACCAGAAAATCCAAGCAAGGTATTCCCATGTGTATCCCTTGTCGCCTACAGTGAGCCACTAAATCCAACAAGCTGAAAATTGATAAATCTAATAGGTACAGGATATATCATTCAGCCAATCAGACCTGGATACAATTAGCAACCAATAATGCAGATTAAAAGCACATATAAGAGGTAAGTTTATTGGTCAGGTGGGACAGTACCCTCACAAATCAGGACAGAAAAAAACTTGATCTGAATTAAATATTAAATGTGATTAATACAAAATATTATCTGAACAGCAAAAGTACTGATACAGCAGAGTCTTGCTTATTCAACAGAACGGGTCACCAGAACGTTGGATAAGTGGAAATGTTGTATAATAAGGAGAGATTAAGGAAAAGCCTATTAAATGTCAAATTACATTATGATTTCACTAATTAAGCACCAAAACATCATGTTTTACAACAAATCGACAGAAAAAGCAGTTCCATACACGATAACATTATGTAGTAATTACTATATTAATGATTTTATCACTAAAACATCACAACGTACTGAAACAGCTGTGGATCCAGGCGGGAGGCAGACTGTGTTGAATAATACAGAGCGTTGGATAAGTAAAGGTTGGATAAGCGAGACTCTACTGTAGTAAGAAAAGGTTCACATGAGAAATCAGAACTTACAATATTGATTCATAAATAATTTTACTCTGACATACTTGAAAAGCCGAAGGCTGACTGTTACCTTTGTGACCTACAGTCCAGTGACCCCTGTCTAATGCATCTCAACAGTCTACTGTTAAACATGTGCATGTATGTTTTATTTTACAGACAATTGATTGCAAAAAAAGGGAAAGAAAAGAAAATGAGGAAATATTTTTTAAAAGATTGAAAGGTAGGAGATTTTCTTCTCGGATTTGTAGTTTTCTCCCTTAATAGAGATTGTTAACAGCAGAATCCCAAATCCCTAAATAAAGCAGCTTTCATTTTATCCAAAAGGAACAAACACACACAAGATTTAATCTATCTTCAATGAATGAGCATTACAATGAATCCAAATTGACTAATTCTGATTATTTCCATTTGCTTCTCTTTGGTATTTTTCTTTGTCATTCAAAGTGCTTTGTCTTGAATCTGGCACAGAGAGGGGCTGCATCCCCCCAAAAAATGGCTTAGGCATTTTTCAAGCTCTCAGCAAGGGACCAGTTGCCCCTAGGTCAGAACTAAATCAGAATTTTAAAATAAGATCAATATTTTCCAAAAAGGAATAGAAGGAAAAGGTGTTTTTTTAAATGTGACTCTCTAGTAATTATATTTATTTGCATGAGATGTTTTTCTCCAAATCAAGTACACTCAAATATAAATATTTATTTAACTGGTTTGAATTTCAAATCATCGCAAGATTCTTTCACCTGAGCCTACTAGAGAATGCAAGTTCTCGCCTCTCCCCTCCCCTACTCTCCTCTCATCTCTGCTGAGTTAACTACATGCAAACTACTGGTGCATTTTGTACTCAGTTTGCAACAACTGAAGTAAACTGAGGACAAAAAGAGAAAGCGGGAGTAGAAAAAGTAACTGGGTTTTTTAAAATCAGCTCAAAATTGGGTGAATTTAACCGAGACTGTCCTTGTCATATCAGGAGTTGTTGGATATGCATGTAATACAGGATCTTGGAGTGCAACTGTACATGAATTTAATTGAGAGTAAGGTCTAATGATACAGCACACTTATTTTCAACTAAGGCTGGATCTACACTACCATATAAAATCCAGATTATATGTTTTGAATTGGATGACATAATCGACTCATTGGAGAGTGCTACATGGGTAGTTCAGTGTAGAGAGTGAAGTACTTTTCAGATTTCAAAAGTACAGTGTTCCCTCACCTATCTCAAGGGTTCAGTTCCAGGAACCCCCATGATAAGTGAAAAACTGCAATGTGGGGACGCTATACTGTATATGCACAGTATAGCTCCGCCCACTCCTCTCTCCCATCCTCTCTCTCTTTTTTTGAAAAGCCGCAAAAGAGCGAGTCCACGGTTAGCGAACCGCAAAGCAGCAAGGGAATGCTGTACTATATAATAGAGAAAAAGAAGAGAAAGAATGGATCTACACTGCCCTCTATCCCAGGATCTGATCCCAGAGTATATGCTTTGAACTGGATCATATAAATCTACATTGCCAGATAACCTGGGTTAAGAAGATAATCGGGGATCAGATTATGGGATATAGGGCAGTGTAAATACATTCTAAGTTCAATTGGTGGCCCCCTCTACACTGATATATTATCCAGATTATTAAAGCACATAATCTACATTATCTGCTTTGAATTGGATTATATAAGTTTACATTGCTGTACCTTCTACACTGCCATATAAAATCCAGATTATCTGCCTTGAACTGAATTATATGGCAATGTAGACTCATATAATTTAGTTCAAAGAAGATAATGAAGATTATCTGCTTTGACAATCTGGATTTTATATGGCAGTGTAGAAGGTCCCTAAAATACATACAAAATCTGGATTTGTTGGGAAAGTCTCATCTCGCAGGCTGACATTCTCTTGCCAACTGCCCAAGTATGTGTTTTGTGCAATAGGCTCCTACTTCCATAGGGAGGCTTTCCTTAATTAAAAAAAAACCTGAGTCTAGACAATCACAAACAATCTTGTTCATCCTCTGGGTCTCATCACACTAGAGAAAAAAAATCCACTAAAATCCAGTTTCTGCCTCCTACAGAATTCTGGGATTTGAAGTTCAGGAAGGAGCCTCTAACAGCCTTACTAAACTACAAACCCCAAAATTCTGCAGGAGGCAGAAGCCAGATGTTAAGTGGATTTTTTCTCTAGTGTGGTCTTTAATTTAAAACAAAATAACCCAAAGTAAAAAAAAATAACACTGTACAGTCCTCTTAATATATTGAATGGCATGTTATTTATTGATAATATAACAATCCAGAAACTACATTATGGCTGTATCTCTGCTTAAGTGATTCAGTTTGTGCCAAATAAAATTAAAAAGGAAGTGAATAGCTTTCAAGGCAAGAAAATGTTACTGACAGGTTGTGGATGCATTACCTTTTTGTCGCTCAGTCCAGACACCTGGTCCACATATTCTTCCTGGATCATGAAGGCAGCCAAATTGGCAGTATAACTGGCTAGGAAGATGACAGCAAAGAAAGCCCACACAGACACCATGATCTTGCTCGTTGTTCCCTTAGGATTCTGCACAGGCACAGAGTTGTTGAACACCAGACCCCACAGCAACCAGATTGCTTTACCAATGGTGAAAGAAGGACCACCTGGCTCTGAAATGACCAAAATGTAGCCACAAATAGTGAGAATATTGGCACAATTAATCAAAGCAATAAGTAACATACATATATGCATGTCTTTCTCTTTTATCAGATGGCAAACCATAGATTGGTGATTGCAATCACTCCATGCACAGTTTCCTTTTCGGTCTCTTTTGTTGTGCACTTATATGTGTTGTACAGCACAACGTGTGTGCTGCTCAAAAGTAAAACATCTAGTTAGTGTAATGACACACTCAGGTAGGTTTTTTAATTTGGGCTGCCATATAAAATTCAGATTATCTGCTTTGAAGTGGATTATATGGCAATGGAGACACATAAAATCTAATTCAAAACAGACAATGTGGATTATCTATTTGATAAACTGGATTATATGGCAGTGTAGATCCAACCTCAGATTGGCTGGATCTACACTGGATCTACACTGCCATATAATCCAGTATGTGATCCAAGGTTATCTGCTTTGAACTGGATTATGTTGTTGTTGTTGTTGTTGTTGTTGTTTTATTTACTGTTGTCTTCTTGATTTGACTGATACTTATTATATGTAACATTAATATGGGGCCCTTTAACACTGTACAATTATGGAAATACGTATCATACCTGCCAATATATTGTTTTATTTAAAAAGTATACTAGTTGAGGGATAGTATGGACTTATAGTTCCACAAGGTCACAGTGATCTGAACAATTATGTTCATCTCTGAGGAAAAGCACAAGATATGGAAAGCCTTTTCAGAGTTGCTCTTTCCCCTTCTATACTCACAGAGAACTAACATGAACCTAGTCCACAGGGTCTATTAGTTATGCTTATTAATGCAGTCTTATGTGCCACAATTCCAGCTGACTTTCAATACAAATTGAATGAATGTATCTGATGGCAAATCTGGCTCCTGCATATGAAATGCAGATGAGATAAGTTATTATGAGAAACATCCATTTTGCATTTCTTGACTTTTTTTGAATACTTAACAGCGAAGCATTTCATCAACATTTATTTTTGAATGCAAATTAATTTAAGTCTGTATTGATGCTTGAAATTTGCATTTTAAAAATTAGAAGGCACAAGTAAGGAATTTTTAAAGGAAAGAAAAAATAAATAAACGTATAGGCTGCAAATTTATTCCACTGCATAGTTGTGCAGCAGCCTTGTTAAAAATTATGAATTACTTCAAACATGTGTGATGTGTGTTTTTAAAAAGCAGAATTCCCTGGGGTCACCAAGGTTTTTAAATGTACAAAGTAAGGGTGCATCCTCAGGATCACAACTGTGATTCTTAAATATGTTCTTGATTAAGGGGTCTTCCAGACAGACCCCTTAATCAAGAACATATTTAAGATCTGATCCCAGGCTTTCTGTTTATCCCAGGGAACGTCCAGACATGGCACAAAATGCGCACCCTTCCAGATACTTGTGGGGGGCATCCAGATGACGCCCCATGAAATCACGAATGTTTTCGGCACAAAGTAGGAAAATCTTGCTTTGCGCTGAGATTATTTGTCAGTGGGTTTGTTCTGTGCCTTCTTTAAAGACAAACCCACTATGGCCCCTGTCTGGACTGCCCCTGCAGAAGTCGTGGACTTCTGAGAGGGCAGTCCAGACAGCTGTCTCACATTTTTCTGGGCTTAATCAGCCCGGAAACTGCAAGAGGGCTCTAACCCCCTCCTCAACTCCACTCTCCCCAAAAATACCTTTTAAAAATAAAAGAAATTACCTGGCTGCCATTAAAGTACTGCTGGCCCTCTCCTGGTAGTTAGGAATGATGTGCCAGGAGAATGGGGAGAGGAGAAAAATCGCTCCTGGCCCCCTTCTCCCGGTGCATCATTCCTAAGTGCCAGGAGAGGACTGGAAGCACGTCAACGGCGGCTGGGTAAGTTCTTTTATTTTTAAAAGGGGTTGGGGGGTTGGGGTTGTCTCCGTGTTCTCCCGGTAGATACTGGGAGGACATGAAGACAACACCCTTGGAAAACGTGGGCTTTTGGGGCAGTGTGCGGACTACAATCTACCCCAACCCAGGTTGGTGCGGATTTTACCACTGTCTGAAACTGCCCCCAGATTATCTGGCAATGCGGACTCATATAATCCATATAAAGCAGAAAACCTAGGATCAAATCCTGGGGTATAGGGCCTGTCTAGAAGGGTCTTATGACAAGCCTTGGCAGATGAGACCAAATTCTACTCAGCACATTTTGGGGGAAAAAACATGAGAATCTGCAATGGAGTAGTGATCCCAAGATGGCTTGCTCTATTTCTAATCAATGCCAGTTTCACATCAGTGTGTTGATACCTGTTCTATTCCTTTCTTAATGTAATTTTTTCTAATTTATATTTAAATAAATACATTAAAACTCATTTTATGCACAAAATTATCAATTTCCAAGTAGTTTTCAAAATAAATATGTCTAAACATTTTATATATATAATGTAATTTACGTAAAATATACAGTTTACATGTATGTTTTGAGTATTCTGATACTAAAAGGAGTGTGAGATCTAAAGGATAACAGTGTATCCTAACACATACATTACTCCACTAGTTGCAGGTCAGTTTAGTTCATGAATCAATCCACAAGGAACTCATTACTGCACCATCCTCATAACAAGCAGAATAAAACCTGCCTTTTGCTCAACCCTACTTTATAAAATCGCAAATAGTTCATTTTTTAAAGAGATGAAATTAATATCAAATATCATGATACAAATAATTTTGAGGAGATTGTAGCTATCCTTTCCTAGGCTGAAAGAGAGTGGAAAATGGTCTATATTCCTCTGAATATCTATGGTCTATATGGTCTATATTCCTCTGAATATCTATCCATCCACACTACATTAGCCTTGTGCAATAATTCCCATAACAACCTGTTTCACTACCATTTCGTATAAGGGACCCAGTTTTGACAAACAAATACATTCAAACTATCTGTAGGATCTAATTTTACCACAGACATTTAAACTATTTCCCACTCACATCTGTTCCGCTAGCTGTGTTCCAAATATCTGTTTCAGTGTGTGCGTACAAGAAACCTCTACATGAATACCTACATTAATATTTACAGCTCTGCATACATCTTTTTAGATATGTGCATTGGTCCATGTGTGCTGTCCACAGCTCATGGACAACTCCCTTCGGCATGACTACACATAAGGCTCAGACTAAATTTCCATTACAAATCTCTTTTCTTCAGGCCTCAGAAACTTGGTGATATAAATCTGCTCACGGCAAATTTGGCAAATGGGTAAAAAGGATCACAGAAATATCTCAGTTCAAGCATTTTAACATTATCGGCCTGTAGGTAAACCAGAAGGCTTTAGGTAGGGGGCCATTTCACAGCTTAATGAAGCTTAGGATAGAGTACCAGTAACTTACCAGCATCCAAGCTGATATATTTTCTGTCTCTGCCTCTGGGCCTTTGCTCATAAATTATTTGTTCAGTGACAGAACTCTGCTTTCCTTCTGACCCATTCTCTAACTTTCATTCAGTCCCACAGCCTGAGAAAACTCATGCTGAAATCTTAAGTTCTTTCTGCATTGGCATGACATTTTTAAATTAATGAAGAACATATCTCAAATCCATGGGGGCTAAAGAGGAGAGATGCCCATCTTTTCACATTTTATATTCAAATCTTCTCCTTTAGGTATTTATATGATTTTTTTTCTCTAGTGTGGTGAAGTAGTTAGTTTTAACTTCTTAAATTCCTGCCCTCCATCTGAGATGCACTGCAACCTAGATGTGAATTAATTGTGTGTGGGGAGAGGTTGTTAATTTTAGGAAATTTAACTGTATCTATGAAAAAAATAGTTCACTCATGTAGTCAGCATAATAAGAGATAGATTAATGCAACGTTCTATTGATGACAACTTAGGAAGACTGGTCTATGGACCTGGGCTGCTTTGGGAGTGGGAAGCTGCCTTCGCCTTGCACTTATTTTGATATACTACCAATCTAATAACTTGTAAGTCAATCTAATAACTTGTACAAATAACTTGTAAGCCATTCTGAGTCCCCTTTGGGGTAATATATATATAGCATTGTAGTACCATCATCATCCTCATCCTACCCAAGACATGAAGAACAAAACACAAAAAGTACTTCCACAGATGACAATATTTGCAAAAGCACCGGGACTGTGGCACAGCTGGCTGGGAGCCAGCTGCATTAAGACCACTACTGACCAAAAGGGCATGAGTTCGAAGTCAGCCCAGGTAAGAGTGTGCTTCAATTTGTGTAGCTTGCTGTCGACTTTTGCAGCCTGAAAGACAGTTGCATCTGTCAAGCAGGAAATTTAGGTACCGTTTATGTGGGGAGGCTAATTTATGAGGCAATAAAAATCTCCAGCAAGCATGCAAAGAATGAGGAAGTACTTCATCAGTGTCACAAATGGACGGTGAAGTGACAGCTCCCCTGGTGGCCAGAATACCCTCATAAAAAAAACCCTGGAATGTTAAATAGCCTCTGTATGTCTGTCTATATATGTTGTGTGTCTATGGCATTGAATGTTTGTCATGTATATGTACACTGTAATTCACCCTGAGTCCCCCGCGTGGTGAGAAGGGCAGAATATAAATACTGTAAATAAATAAATTAAATAAATACCAAGTCAATGTTGGACACTTCTCTAAATGAAGTAATACTTCAATTTGACAGAAGCTCATTTAATTTGGAGACATTCCAAGCATGCATGCATAGGAAAGACTACTAGTTCCAAGTAAACTAGAAATGAAACCTTCTGTACAGTCTGAATAAAACAACTGCTTTATCAGAGATGGGTTCTCTGCTATTCATAGGCCTCTTTATTCATTTCCTTCTCTACACAGAGAAAACATAACATCTGTAAATGTTTGACATATCTGCATAAGGGCAATAAAACATTCCACTGTCTAAGATAGAACAGACAAGAAAGACTAGAATGACTGTGCTGTGAAAGGTCTAGTTCCTTACCTCTGCCATCCGCTAGACATCGGTTATATCCCACAGGGCTGAAGTATTCAAAGACAAAGACAGCCACCGCAGAGATTATAAGCAGCATTACAAACATCATCACCCACACGTCAGCACTGAATGGTTCTGGACAGGAGAGGGCAGATAGTTAGTTCACAGACATTTTTCCAGCCTACCCCCAAATGCAAGGCTCCCTAAGCTATACAGACATCTCACTGCACTTATGGAAATCTAGTCTGACTAAATGTGTGTAGACCCAGAGGGCAATTTTGCACAAATGTAATCTGAATAATATACAAAGAAAAGTTGGGCTGTGTCAGACAAATTAAATAATTGTGCTTGGGGTTATCCTGTTTTTCTAACATTTCTCTTATGCTATTTTATGTGATGCAGCAAAACTAGAGCTTTTCTTATGGGATTTATGTGTGCTGGTTAATTTAGAAAATAACTACAAGCGTTCTTGTCTATATTTTATGAGATATTTTCCTTGACATTATGACTAATGAAGAAGAAGAAGCCATTATTCTCTTTACCTAAGAAGGCAGAAGGTGAGACAGTTCCATTGCTTCGCGACACCATTACGCTGATGCCTGTCTCAATGAATGGCACAGAAAAGTCAACAACTTCCGATCGCTCTGCATTTATGGTGAGGGATCCCACTGCCATGTAGGCACGTTTGGCAACCACCTAAGGTACAGAGAAAGAAAAATGATGTATGTATATCCAGTCAATTACTCCTTTACCATCTTCATCTTCTCTCCTACACTTTCCATACTGATAGTATAAGCAACTAGAAATACTAGGGAGAATTTCCAACAAATTAAGGTAATATCATTCTACTATCCAGTACAGCATGGGTTAATGCATAGTAACATATAGGTCAGCCATACAGTTATATATATATCTATGTATATGAAAACAATTCCATATATAAGACAAAGGAGCATAGAACATTACATTTCCTATTCTTTTTTCCTTCTCCGTCCATTCTGTTTTCAAGTAAAGCATAATGCAACCTCACATATCTGCTTGATAGAATTCAAATATGAGTAGTTCCTGTTATGAAGATTTTGAATGTACAGCTCAGTTGATTTTTCACTCAAAGGCAAGAATCAACCAACCACAGAAACACAAAAACCATCATTTCAGTTAAGTGACGAATCTATAAGAACACACACTGATGGCTTACCTCGCCTATCATTCCGTTCCATGTCCCATTGACCTTCTTGCCATGTTTACCATTTGTTACCAAGTAAAGATCATAAGTGAACTTCACAAACTTTGAGATTTTCTTAAGAATATCGATACAAAATCCTTTGCAACATTTTTTAATGTAGGCAGTTTCCTCGTCTGTCTTGTTCCTTTAAACAATCAGAACAATAGAAATATTGAATTTAAAATGTTGTATAATGATTTTATAATGCTGTATTTATAAAAGAGGTGGGTCTTCCAAGGCAAGAAATTCCATATGATTTTTTTTTGTCTTGAAATAATTCCCACCTTCTAAAGTTAAAATTTGTCTGGCTTTTTCAGCAGAAATTAAAAGAAAAACAGAAGAACACAGTCATGTGTTGCTGTGGCCCAGTCTGTGTATATGTGCTTTGTGTGTGTATATATGTGTATATGTCTGCATATATGTTTGTGTATATGTATATATATGTGTGTTTGCATATGTGTGCGTGTGTGTGTGGTTTTGTGCATGCATTGTAATACATTTTTTGTTTTTTGGCTTTTAAAGTCTCTTCCACTGTGTCTTTCATTGTTTTTATGAGTGATGGTCACTCGTTGGCCTGATAGGTGTATTGTGTCCAAATTTGGTGTCAATTCGTTCAGTGGTTTTTGAGATATGTTAATCCCACAAATGAACATTACATTTTTATTTATATAAGATTAACCCATTAATTTTTCAATACGCATTTTCTTTTAAAAAATTAGAACTGATTTAGAACCATTTAGTCCTCAGCTTCTTTTCATAAATCTCTCTTTCCTTTCCTACTGTCTTTATCTCACTGAAAAGCCCAGTTGATGCTGCTAATGTTAAACATCTAACAGAATGAGTCGAGATGGTTTAAACATTGTGCGAGTCCCAAATGCAGATGTGGTTAGCCTGAAACAATCCAACTAGTTTTGCCAGTGATTAACATCATGAAGAAAAACATTAGAAGGAACAAGCTGGTGTAGCTGGCACCTACTCTGATACAATTCGTTTCTGGCACGGGACAGTGTTCCTCATGCAGGTACCACTTAGCGGATCCACATTTTCCACTATGACAAATGGAGCTTCTTCTAGAGTCACTATACTAAGATGGTCATCCTCGCGCTCCTCACAGTTAGGGTACAGTTCTGAACGTGGCCACACATAATACTTCATCTTAAGGCGCTTGTCCTTCCACCATCCCACCTGAAACGATATAAAACAAAGAAAGACATCCTTATTCAAACCATTCTATCACATTGTAATCTCATACTCTTTAATTCTCTCAAATTACAAGGATCGTCTAAACCTGCCAAAAGTAGTAATGAAAATTAGAATAAAATGCCACTTACTCATGTTACATTTTAATTTTAATTTATTTATTATGTAGCTAGATATTGCTCACACTGTATTTTCAGTTTCTATTAATGTTTATCATTGCAAGGGACTGAAGAATACACTGGGATCTTGAAAGGCCCTACCACCCATGCTCTTCTACCTTTTTTTATTTGCTGAAATTAAGGGAGTAAACCAGGCATAAACCAGAAATGGATGTCCAGTTAGTTCATGCTTTTGAAAAAAGATTCTCCTGAGCTTTAAACTGTCTACAGGATTGTCAGCAAAAATGATCCCACATTTTGAATTTTTAAAGAATCAAAAAATGTTTTCTAGCAACAAGTGGGGGTTGCTAAGGGGTGAAAGGCTCCAAAATGTTCTCAGGGGCCTTATGCAGCCCATCCCTGACTTATATAATTGTTTTTCAAAGCACACTAATAATAATTCAATAAAAATGTATCATAACAAACTATAATCCAATGAACCACTATTAATCTAAAAATTACCCATGACTTCTTGATCCGAAGATAAAACAGGAGCAGTTAGAACCTAATTTACTAACAGCATCCACAAAATGCCCTCTGAAACAGAAAAATCTTGGCTGGCTGTCAAAATGCAGGCAGCCAAGGAGCCAGGTAAAACCTTTTCAGGAGGTGGAATAGCCCCACATTATCCACAACACATCTGATACCAGGAGATCTTAGCACAGGGCTCTGAATGTGATTCCAGCGCTATAGCAGATTCATGTTGGAGCAAGTGATTTTTGAAATATTCTGGTTAAGTAAGTGTCAAGCAATGATGGTTATATGTGATGAGAATATCACGGTCCAGGATACATGACCCAGTTAAAATGTTGGCAACCATTTTGAACCCATGGAAATCTTCAAACTATTTTCACCTCCACATAGAATGCATACAAGAATCCAACCTGAAATTGTCAGACAGGTGGACAAATAGCTTAAACCCAGCTGCTCCAGGAGAACAGTGATAGAAAAGCTGAACAAATGCACCTCTAGCCATCACTGCTACATAGCCATTGAGAAAGATGGCTGCAATCAGTGGAACCATCAAGCTGCAAACTTGATTTTTGAGAAGTCTGTAACCCATTGCCAGCAAGTTTTACATCTACTCTTACATATTATAACCAGAACATCAATAAATGAAAATGAAAATTATTCATATATTATTTTAAATAGCTATGAATTATATGTGTATTTTAATAATAGATCATTTGCAGATTCTGCTATAAAATTGTATGTATTTTTAAAAAGTGCCCAGTATCCACAAAATCTCATCTATAAATCACATTGTCTTTAAGGGACTGTCGATTCTGCCCCTTGTCACCATCTTCTCCTTTTAATTCAGCTGTGTCTGTGTGTACCTTCATGTCACCTGTCACCTTATGGTGACCTGATTAATTTCATAGGGTTTTCTTAGGCAAAGAATATCCAGAGCTTGTTTTGCCAGTTCCTTCCTCTGAAAAATAGCCTGCGGCATCTGGTATTCATTGGCAGTCAGGCAAGATCTGATGCCTTGAGGGTATTTCGACCCTATAAATTGTTATACATGTATCTTAGTACTAATGCATTCGCAGATGCTGCTATAAATTTTTTTAAGTTCCTGTTGTTCTGCAATATGTAAAAAAAATCTTCCAACAGGAAGCTCAGATAAGCTCACTTTTCTGAAATGACATATGAAAAGGCAAATCTTTTTCATTAACATGCAGGACTCCTGGGGAAATGTAGGTGACCCTACAGGGTTTCTGATATTTCATCTTGGCATCATGTTGTTGCCCCACAAGTAACTGCAAAGTCAAACCACATGTTACAGCACAGGTACATGCAAAGTATTCTATGTGGGACTGTGCTTGAAAATGGTCTGCAACCTTCCATTGCTGACAAATGCAGCAACTAGCCGACTCAGTATCAAGAACTGCCTAGATGCTAAGCCCTTTCCCCTGCCATTGCCAATAGGGCCTCTGGAAGGTTGCGATCATATATCTTTTCCTTTTTAATTTTTTTTTCAATTTGGCCTCTAAAACTGGTTTGATTATAATGCCTTTAACAGTGCCATTCATTCAAACTACTGTAATGATGTCTGTACCTGTAGTTTTTAGTAGAAAGGAGGAATAAAAATGCAAAAACTAAATAAACAAATCATTACTAGACATATAAATCAAGACATATTTCTTTGAATTCGGTTCTCATACATTTTCAAGGTGACATAAGTAGGCCACTGAACATGTACCTTGTGGTGCACTAAACCACCAGATACTCTAGAATATCCGTCTATGAAGCTTTCAGATACAAGAATACTGCACCTTTTGAGACTCTATTTTCACTGTGGTTTAACAAATATGAGACAAGAGGACACAGGCTGAACGAAGGAAAACTCTTCTGCTCTGCAGATGCGGTTCCCTCACCTTCCCAGTAGGATCTCAGACAATGCAAACTGACAGGGGCAGGACAGGTGAAACGTTGTGTTTTTTACCTATTTTGTAGGGTTTGTTTCCCCTTGGCTGTCAGTTCACCCTTTATTTGCTACCACATTTGACATTGCAGATGCACTAAGCTTACTAAAGCCTGCTTATGTGTCAGAGGTTACTTTTGTACAATCAAGGGCTTCCTGGTGTTCCAAATTTAACATCTAGCACCACCATTAAACATTCATTACTCCTTTTAAACTTTTATTTGCATTTTTGGTGGTAACTGGGTTTTTTATTGAGGAAATCTAACAAGGACTCCGTGAACACTTTATTTCAAGAAGAAGAAGAAAACAATAACTTAGAAGCACCGGTGACCTTCTTACAAAAGTCTCTAGGGATGCATGATTTTGTGCCAAAAGAGGCACGGAGGATTTGGCGGAGTCGGGTGAATGTCATTCAATATTAAAAGAAATGCTGTACATGGTCCTAACTCTCTCATAAGCAGTCGTTACAAACTACCACATCAAGAGATATTCTCCTCTTAAATAAATGGGTTTTTAAAAACCCAATGGTTCCCACTTACCCTAGGTCTGATTACTAGAGCTGAATTTAGGAAATCCACATTCTTTCGTTCCTCACCTGGCTATTTTTAATAGGGACTAAACATCAATTTCATTTAACACAAGCTTCATGCATGTACAAATGGGATAGTGGTGTGAGATAGCCATCACTGCTTCTTTTTTTCATTTTCCTAAAGGAAGAATGGGAAAGTGGTGTGCAGATCTGGTAGTGATAGGAAGAAAGTTCTATCATTCTGATGGTTCATTGCTTAATTGGGTTTCACCTCATTTATTAGAAGTCCCTGGTGGCACAATGGGTTAAACCCTTGTGGTGGCAGGACTGCTGACTGAAAGGTCAGTGGTTCAAATCTGGGGGAGCAGGGTTTGAACCACTGCTTTCCATGCGGGGACATGTGAGAAGCCTCCCACATCCAGATGTCCCTTGGGCAACGTCCTTGCAGACAGTCAATTCTCTCACACCAGAAGTGACTTGCAGTTCTCAAGTCGCTCCTGACACGAATAAAAATCTTATTTATTTGTATATTCTTTTTAGTGATACTTGCTAGCAGACTTTAGTAATTTATCAGTAGAAATTGGGATGCAGGAATGCTAAAATGATTGCTTATTATCTCATTCAGAAATATGCAATGGCAATCCAGTGTTAATGAAGCTATTACAATAATCTATGTGAATCCAGTGAGTAGTTAAAGGCACTTACTCAATGTAACTCACTAGATGCAAGTGCAAGCGTCACACTTCTAAAGACCTCTTTACACGGGGCTTTTTCAGTCCCATTTTTTTCAGATTTGGACAGATGACACTTGGCAGGCCCCACCCACATTCCTCCTGAAGTGGAGGGGAAGTGTTGCAAGACGCTTTCCCTGACACTATAGGGAGAAAAGTGTTTTTTCGGTAGTTCCAATGGAGCTACCTGCACTTTCCTCTCCTTTCCCCATATAATGGAAGAAAGGGCGATGAGACAATGCAGGGGGGACCCAGCTTTCTCGGGATGGGTCCACAAACTCTGTCCCACCCACCCCACCCCCATATGATGGGGAAAGGAGGGAGGTCATGCAGGGCATCACAAGGCATGCTGCATGCCTTCCCTTTCCCCAGTGACTGCCAAGGGTCATGTGAAGAGGTCCAAAACTTTGTGTAACTGTGAACTGAATATGGGTTGGTGGCAATTGCCCCAAATCTCGAGATTATGCCAGAGGTTGATCTTTCTACATGTTTGGGTAAGGTACCACCTTACACAAAGTTCCTCTTCAACCACAGAAATCAAGCACAAAGCAACTCCACCTCTCTCTTGCCCTGGAACCGCCCCTGAAATAGCTATAGGAATGTACTCTGTGTTGTCTGCCAGGTTATTTGTGTAAATATGGCAGAAAATTCCTCACAGTTATGAACGGGCTTCTGTTTCAAAGCTGTGAATTCCAATTCCGCCCAAAGGAAGATTCTCACAACTATGGTCATATGTTGAAATCAAAGCCAGTTGATTGCTTAATGGAATGTGAACTTGCACACAAATACTGTGCAAGTTCACAATCCTGTTCTAATTCTTCAACATACCGAAACCACAATCCAGCATTTTCTGAAAAGTCTTTAGAATAAATTGTGTGAAAGGAGCTGAACACAGACTAAATCCATTGCAAAATTAATTCATTTTACACCTATCCACTAAAAGGTTTGTTTGTATTTATCTGAAAAACATAAAACTGTTCACGAAAAGGAGGACAGCCTGAACAACTTGATTCGCTAAGTGATTCAGCCTAGGAACCCTGTTTAATCACTCAAATTATGCTTCATATTCCCTAATGGAAACTGTTTGTAGTCAGATGACCCTGCTGGCAGTATCTCTGCTATTTTTATGTGTCTGTCTCTAC